GGCGGGCATCAGGACACCGAAGAGAAATTGTTGAAGATAAGTAATGATGCGGGTGGTGGTGGTGCATCCAATTCTGCAAAGACCACCATGACGACTCACTCAGTGGGGAGTCAATCTGCAGAGCAGTTGGCGTCGGGAGGATCTCACGATGTAAATAAAAATGTGAATGTCGATTCCTCGTCTAATGGTAACCCGGCGGTGGGGACAGTGGGTGGAGACACGAAGCAGGGAAATGGATCACCGCAAATTCCTGTGGGTATCTCCGACACAGCAGATGCAAATACTCCCACCACTGAGGGCGAGGGGCAATATGGACCCACAGTGAATCCTGAGGCGGGCGTGAGCTCTGGTGAGAATGGGGAGACGGTGAAAGGAACGAATGGACAGGAGGAGGAAGAGATCCATCCACAGGACGGGGAATTAAATGCTGCGGCGCTCAGCAGCAGTCTCGGAAATGTGTCGCAGGGGAATAACAGCGACGCTGGCACTGTGCGTGGAAGCGGACTGCTGCCATCGCTGCTGCTTCTGTTGGGACTGTGGGGTTTGCGGCTCTGTGAGGAGTGACTGGCTGCCGCGTGGGACACTTGCGACCCCCGCTGCCCGACACACACACACACCTGGCAATGAATTTCTCTTCTCAAATAACTTTTATTTACTTTTCTCCCTGTTTGCTTTTTTGTGTGTTTTTAATTTTTTGTTTATTTGTTGTTTTTAAATGTTTTTCCAAATTTTTTTTTTTTTACTTCTTTTTATTTCTAAATTAATTTATTTTTTTTTTTTCTTTATCTTTTACTTCCCAATTCCCATTCCTTCTTTGCTTTTTTGCTTTTGGGGTAATCACTGTGGACGTTTTTTCTTTTCCACTCTTCCCTCTTTAATTGTTTGTTGCTGCACTCTTCCTGCGAGGGGTGCCGTGTGTTCCGCCCAACTGCTCCACTCGCACACCACCGACACGCTCACGACGACGGCCCTGTGCGCCTCGCCTGCTGCACGCATGAGGAGGGGCCGCGACGAACGGCGCGCTGAGGGAGCCGTGACGTGTGGGCGTGCGACGAGGGCCTGTGGGGCGGAGCACACATTTCTTCCCTCTTGTTTTGTTTTCTTGCGGCCAGGGCGGGCAGACACCCGCAGCACCACACACACAGCCACACCCTGCCGCCGTGTTTTTCTTTTTTTTTGTTTTTTTGTGGACGGGTGTGTGCTGCCACCGTGCGTGATTGTTGAGGTCTGGCCGTACCGCATGTATCGCTGCCATCCAGCTGTGCCTCTTGCTGTGCTGATGTGTTTCCTTTTCTTTTTTCTCAGCACACACACACACAAGCATTTGCACAGTGCTCTGCAGGAATGCTCTTGGCGACGGCGGGGCGTCGAATTGCGTATCCCGTGCTGAAATGGCGAGGTCGCCGCGCGTCTGCCTACGGTGGGATCACGGGGCCGTTGTATGGATGCGTGTGGGACGCCTCCTTTTCATTTGGTTGGATGCCGGCTGGGGCGGCTGCACGATGCCCGCCATGCGTGAGGGTGCTGCCTGCTCTTGGGGTCATTCTTCTCTCCCCTATGTATTTGCTCTGCCGGGTGCGTGTGTTGCTCTTTGTGTGCTGACGCGTGGCGGACGGTGCCACGATGGCCTCCTCTTATGATGACAGTCGCTGTGCTCTCGGCACACATCCACACACACTTTCTTTTCTCTCTGTGTGGGAGTGAATGAGTCGGGAGCGTGGTCTACGGCAGCGGTTTTTGTGCAGCGGAGGAGGAGGAAGACAGGGCGCCGAGGGAGGAGACGAAGCCGAACCCGCCGGAAGAGCCGCCACCGAGCCTCTTGTTGCTGGAAGCGTTGGGGTGCGAGTACAGCCACACGGACACCCGCACGGTTGCTGCGCCGTACTTCTTCCGGCACTGCGACGCCGCCGGCTACACGACGTTGTGTTGCCGCTACAAGCACAATTAGGACGACAAGCTGCAGCGCATGACGGCCAACCTGATCCGCGTGTGGTTGCGGCGCATGGAGCACGTGCGCCAGTACTTGTTGGGCGTTGCGCTCATGATTGTGGAGGAGAGGCGGCACGACGTTGTGGTGCTGTGTGTGTTGCGCGGCCGTGGCATGTCGGGGATTGTGAGGGACGTGGAGGACACGGAGCTGTTTGACTGAGGGAGGAGGTGGCGTACGTTGCGGCGCAGCGAAAGCGCATGACGATCCCGAGGCCTGTGCTGGAGGGGCGCGTGTTGAAGTGAGCGTGGCGTGCCTGTGAGGGCCTGAGGAGAGGGAATAACAGTAATAGTGACTGTGGGGGTGTGAGGAACGGTGCACGGGCGAGGAGCGCTCCTCTTTTTTTTTGTTTTTGATTGTTGTTGTGGTGGTGCGTGACTCTCATTGCTGGATGGGACGGTGCGTGGCTGTGTGGCTTGTCTCTCTCCTTTGACTCTGCGTTGACGTGTTGTTAGTTTGTGCTGAAGGCTGCACGCAAGTGACAGGAGTGATGGCGATGATGACTGGCCGTGTGCTGCTGGTGTGTGCCCTCTGCGTGCTGTGGTGCGGTGTATGCGCGGTGGTTGTGTCGGCGGCCGATTCTGGGATTGCAGACGCTTCCGATGGTCATTTACTTCACAACGGAAGTGGTGGTGGGGTTGGTGGTTCGTCCCCTTCCGAAGCTGGGAGGCCTGGTGGTACTGAAGATGCAATGGGGAAGATTTCCAATGTTAATGGAAGTGATTCTGCGGGTTCTGTTGTTTCCGGCAACAACCTTTTATTTTCTGGTGGTGGTGAGGGTGGTGTTTCAGACGTCTCTAAGTTGAAGTTACCGCCTGTGGAGGAGGGTCCCAATGACATAAAAAATCAACCACAAGCCCTGTCCGGAGTTGCGTTGCCGCCCGGAGTGGATTCCACAGGAACATCCAAGCCTGATGCAGAAAAGCCGTCGTCCATTAATAAAAGCTCGAAAGGAGATCGTACTGATGATGTTGTCGATATTTCCTTGAAGAAAAAAGAAGAACTCACTGACGTGAACAAAGAAGAAAAAACCGTCTTGCCTCCTAACGACAGCGAATCACCAGCGCCAACAGAGTTGGGGGCAGAGGAGGGCTTAAAGGGAAAACCAGCTTCAGGAGTGGCATCACTTCCAGCAAAGGGAGAAGAGGGATTGCCGGAGACGGGCCAAGGCGAGGGATCACCAAGGAGTGAAGCTGCGTCCAGCGCGGGTAAACAACAAGATTCACCAACTGTGAGTCAACAACAAACACACTTTTCTTTATCTCCTTCCCAAAACGAAATTGTTCCGACTCCTAGTTTAGGAAAGGGGCGCGCTGCGGAGGACATTTCCAAGAATATCCCACCATCTGGTAACGCAGTACAGAAAGAAGGAGCGCAACATGAAACTGTTGCTGGCGGTGAAAAGCCAACAACACCAGCAGCTAACACCCGAAACACAATTGGCAAAACTCTTCCTGGCGACAGCGACGGCAGCTTAACAACTACTTTCTCCGCAGGACCTGTCGCTAGCAGAAGGAGCACTCAAGTCTCTGGTGATGCGATCAACACTGACGGGCTGAATTTTGATGTCTCCAGTGATAACGTGGCACACAACAATATGACTGCAAAAGTTGAAAACGCAACAGGCAGCAAGGAAACCGTGGCAACTAACAGTGGGAAATCCACAACAGTACCGGAAACCTTCACTGATAAGGCAATAGGTACAGTGACAACTGGCGACAATGACGGCAGCACCGCGGTCTCCCACACCACCTCCCCTCTTTTGCTTCTTCTTGTTATTGCGTGTGCGGCTGCTGCTGCGGTGGTGGCCGCGTGAGAGTGGGGGAGAGAGCCGTGCACCGCCCGCACACACACTCGTCCTTCTCTCTCTGTGTGTGTGTGTCCCCTTGCATGGACTCTCGCCCTCACCGTACCCCACGAGGCACACACAATAATGTGCCCATTGTATATATGCATGCACACCCATGCAGGCCCGTTGGTGCTCTCTTTTGCACGACACGCACCGCTGCCGTCCTGCCTGGCTGCATGGGCGGAGCACCGTAACTGTTTCTGTTTTGTTTTTATTGCATTGAGTGGGCGACCTCTCTCTCTCTCTCCCTCTGTGTGTGTGTTTTGCTTTACGGGAGCAATGAGAGTGTGTGTGCGCTGGTCGTCCCACGCTTCGGCTTTTTGTTTTGTTTTCCTTTTGATTTTGTGGTTGAGTGCACCCATTCCGCGGCTGCGTGTGTGTGTGTGTGGTGATATGAGTAATTTGCGTGTGTGCTATCTGCCTCTCTCTGCTGTTGCTTTCTTTGGACCCTTTTGTGCCGCACGGCTACTTCGCAAGTATAGGCGCTGACAAACACACTGATACACACACATACAAGCCATGTTGCACACGCTGTGGAGCGGTGTGTACGCTGAAAAAGCACGCACGCACGCTGCGGATGGTGATGGAGGGCACTGTGGAGCCCGGTGTGTTGGTGCTTGTAGCTGTCTTTGGCAACGCTCATATCCGCCGTGTGGGAATGGCCGGCGTGGTCGTGGGTGGTTGGAGGGAGCAACGGCGAACACGGTGACTTCCACGCAGTGAGCTCACAGTAACTCCTTCGCCAGTGGCATTGCGGGAAGGAACCGTCATGATAATTGCAACGTCGTCACGGTTGTTTTCGAGCACCGCAAGAAGGAGTAAAAATATATTTGTTTGCATGACTCTTTCCATCCCCGCCTCAGGGCTGCCCATTAGAATGAGGTTGCCGTGCGGTGGCGTTACCCCTATGAGCTCTCGGGATAGAAAGGGCGGGCGCTGTGCGATGCTCCTGCACGTGGACGGGCGCTG